AGCCCCTCCTTTTAGCGTTCCCTGTTCCCAGGCAAAATCTAGATCTCTAAGATTGCCCGAGACAGCATACCAGGGGGCCATGGTCTCAACCTCCCCTAGAAACCTATCTAATGTACTCTTCTTTAGCTTCAGTCTCTTAGAATGCAACAGCTCCTGAAGAGCGAAATAAATGGGTTGTGATGTCGAATTCTCCATACTTTCACTTTTGGTTACTTTTACCTTGTCTGATCACAGAACTTTATCGCTCCTACTGGAGACCTTATTGCCTCTTTACCGAGGTACTTAACTTGGTCCCACCTTACCTGGGACTTACCAGTCGACTATCTTGACTGCAAGAAGTTCTGAGCTATTCACCCATGGAGAAAGGCTCCCCGTAAGGGCCACCACTCGTCGCGTCTTCCTGGGCCAGCAAGGAAACATGACCACGACTCTTCTTCAAGCAATTTATTCAGAAACCTTGTACAACAGCTTCTGCCTCTCCCAGCCCCAGCAAGCCCTTAAATGTGCGCTCACTGGCCAATCAGCTCATGCCACCTGGCGATCCGGGATAGGCCACAGAAGGAGGAAGAGCACCAGATCCATCAAGCACTTCCAAATAAGGCTTGTTTATAGCTAAGCTCAGACTACCTGGCATCCAGCCAGGTACCATATTGGGGCTGTGGCTTCCCACACTACCATCTAGTGTTATGGAGACATTCAGGCACTGGCTGCTGCCTATGTCCATGTCTAGTCTGTGGCCCTGCAGAGTCTGGGGTCTGGTGTGGAATCTGTGGCTTCAGGGTCCTCCAAGAGCTCTGTGGATTCCTGGGGTCTATCTAGCTACCTGGAACCTTGTTCATGTCTGGGAGCCATGCTGCCATTGGGACCCTGATGATCTGAGTGGCCTGTGCTGCTACTGGGGCTGTGGTGGCATCTAGGCCCAGATGCTGCTGAGAGCCATGTCTTGTTCTACAATCCTTTTGCAGCTGGGGTCTATGATGAAGTTCATGGTCTGTGTTAGCATGAGGGTCATTCGAACTATGCTGTGCTGCGCTGGACCTGCCCTTCATTGATCTTGTGATGGCTGGTCCTGTTCCTCACTGGATATTGAATCAGACAAGCTGGCCCTACTCCTCATGAGAGAGCTTACCCTCCCATGCCAGAAAGATGGGCACCTGACCTGGGAAGCATACTCTGGTTGGGGATGAAGATGATCTTACCCTTCGGGCATGAGAGCAGGAGAGCTGACACAGCCACCCCCTTGTTGGCCATGTGCTAGTATGGGTGAGGGATAAATGTCTTCCTCCCCTCACCCTTACTATGAATGGAAGGAGAGAGAGCTGCCCGGGGTGGGGGTGGGGTCACATGAGTGAGAGAACTAGCCCTGCTCCACACCAGCTGCAACACACAGAAGAGCAGGCCCTGTACCCCACCTGAGTATCATATTAGTGCTGACCTTGTTGTTGGGGGCATAGATGAGCAAGCCCAGAGCACATAAGAACAGAAGAGCTGACCCTACCCTACCCTTTTATGCCTTCTACAGCAATTGGGAGAGAGGGCCCTACACCTTGCCTGGGAAAAGTAATAGAGCTGGCCCTGGTGTTATGAGTGAGGAGGACTCTGATCTGAGGGCTAGAGAGCAAAGAACTAGCCTCACTCTTGCTGTTCACTGCATTGGGTGATCTAGCCACAGTACTAGAGAGCTCACCTTGGAAGTGATGATGAGGGTAAACTATCAAGCTGACCAACTCAACTACTACCCAGGCCAAAAACTAAGGCTATGAGTTGGTCCACTCCAATATCTACTGAATCTATGAACTGCTGGAGCATGTGAAAAGGATGACCCTACAGATCCAGAACAGAGCCATCTCCATGACACAGGATAACAACAGAATATCCAAGAGAAGTCCCAGTGAGACATTATTATTGATGGTGTGGCAGAAACCAGAGGCTTGAAGCAATGAACCAATCACTTGAGGCAATGAACACTTGTAAGTAAAGGTGAATGGATTAAAGGGAAAACTATGTGTCTCATGCTACAGCTTCCATGAAAAGATTTTTCTTCTTGTTTTTGTTTTGTTTCTTTATTTTGATTTGTTTTGGATTTTTCTTTAAAATTTGTTTTTGATTTGGGGAAGAGGTTGCAAAGGCAGAGGGCAGATGCCAGGAGATGGGGAAATAATTGGGATCAGAACAAATGATGTGAAATATACAAACAATGAATAAAAGATTTTTTTTAAGAGAGAGAAAGAAAATCTAAATATCTAAGTTCCAACTATAAGTTACATCCTGGTGTGTTATTGGCCAGGAAGAACCCAAGGCATGCAATATAAGATAAATTATTGTTACAGTTCTTGATTGCAAACATAACTAAGCGATAAGTTTCTGCTACTGCAGACAGAGTACACTTAGGTTATATAGTTTTACTTTCAACATCTATGGCATCAATGTAAAGAAGGAAGAAAAGAAAAATCATTTCATTTTTATAAATGAAGCAGTTCTAACACTATTAACTTCAGATTTAAAACAAAACTAAGGATTAAAACATTTCTAAAACAAATAATATACCATTATAGTTCAACATATTTAAAATGGCTAGAAAATCAGTCACATTGTTCCTTTCTCATGTTTTTAAAATTTCAATTTATTTACTTTCAAACAAAATTTAAATTTATTTTTAGTTGAGTTACAAAATAGTAGGTTTCCATGTGGCTTTTCCATACAGATTTTATTTTTATCAACTTTTCCCCAATATCCCAATATATATTATATATCTTCTGACTTTCCATTCCTTCTTCTGATTTTAAACCTTTCCACGACCAACATTCTCAGCTCTGCTTTTATATCCCCTATGTTTTGCTACCATTTCTCTTTTAACTGCCCCACACACACTACAACCTCCCCTGTAAATTTCCATTGTTTCTGCAGATATATTAGGTTACAAAAAGAAAACTTAGGATCTACACGTGAGAGAGTACATTTAACACTTGTGTTTGTGTCTATGAATTATCTCAGCCAATATTACTTTATCAGTTGGATCCATTTACCTGCCAACTTCAAAACTTCATTTTTCTTTTTAGCTGAATAATTTTTATTGTGATTCTGCTCTTAGCTATTGTAAACAGACAGAAATAAAGATGGATAGGCAAGTATCTCTGTAGCATTGTATAGATTCTTTTCAGCATATTTCTAGGAGAGGTATAGCTGTGTCATATGGTAGTTTGAGTTTAACTTTTTGAGAAATCTCTAGATGGATTTCAAAGCCAAATCACTAGTTCTCACTCCTGCATATAGTATACATGTAAACTTACCCACATCCATGCCAGAATCTACTGCCATTTAAATTTTTAATAGTAATTCTGACTAGGGTTTTAGCTGATTTTTAAAAAGCCATTTAAAAAACAAGTATATACATGAGATGCCATTGGCTATTTTGACACATATTCCGATGGTGTGCTGTTTAAAGTAAACATACCAAACATTTTTAAGATATTTTAAAAACATTACTAGGAAGAATTGTAAACCACTATTTTAATCTTGTTTTAATATATTATTCACAAGTTAGAAGTAAAACTGACCATTTCAATTCCAATAACTTCAAGAAGAAAAAGCAGAGGAATAAAAAGAGAAGAGAGGAGAAAGATGAGACAAAAGAGAAGGGGGAAAGAGGGGCAAGTTATATTATTCTACAAACACATACACACACAGAGAGAGAGAGAGAGAGAGAGAGAGAGAGAGAGAGAGAGAGAGAGAGAACCTGAGCAATACCATTATCAAGGATCAATGTCTTTTGTATACCATCCCCTTAGACCTCTTTCGGGTCCAGTAAAGACACAACAGCCAGTGGGAAAACTAGCTGAGGGGATCTGAGTGTAGAGGAAATGAATTAGCTCATACATACCTCTTTCTCATCATGTGTCTTTATTCTTCCAATCTTGCTACCACATGGTTTCCAGTTTATATAGCCACACCACCATAATTCTCAGGCAAGACAAAAAAGTATAGAACTTTCATTTCTAAAGGTCACACAAAGCAGTCAGCTTCCTTTTGGCTCAGGGAGGCATGCCTGTGAGACTCCACAACAGATACTAGGAGGATCAATTAAGGAGGGAACTTTAACTCAGTATAGAGTTCTAAGAAGAGAAAAAGGGGGTTTTCGTGTGGCATTTGGTCCATGTTAGCATATTTTCCAATTATTATCTGATTAAAGGGGATCTCTCAGCTCTAGAAATCATATCTAAAGTGGCTAGAGCAAAGGGAAAACTATGGCTATGTAATGTAAAATACAGAGCCTAACATTTTCAGCCTCTGGGCCAAACAGCATGGGGCTTGTTCCTGCTGATACCATAATGTGAAGGATTGTCTTTCTTTGGGACTGGTTAAGAGATCAATAACCTTTTCTTGTATCCCTCAGAGTTAAGACACAAACAGGTAATTTCCTAGACTAAGATCTTGTATCAATAAAGCTGTGGTGAAGGTAAGTATAGAATATGAACAGTTTGTTAGATTAGAGCAGGGGTAAACTGAGGTTGCACTCTCCCAAGCTGGCTATGAAAGAATTCAAGGCATCCAGTATGTATTCTATATATCAAAATTACACAGACAAATGAAAAGAAATCTTCCTTACTTCATAGATAAATGTGCCTAGTAGATGGAATATTTCATGAGATAAACACACAAGCAGTGGGGGGAACACCCAGATATATATATATATATATATATATATATATATATATATATATAATCTGAGTGGTCTTATCCTTTACATTCTCATAAGCAGCTGCACTGGTAAACAGACACTAACTTTTAAAGACAAAGCATAATTTTAAGCAGTGCAAATCTCTTCTTATTAAAAAGTCAGGTGAAGACTCAAAAAACTTTACCAAGGGCATTTATATTCCCTTCTTATCTAGCAAAAGAAACTTTTTTTCCTGCCTTTGTTTCACTGAGAGGATTTCATGTACAGCAGAAATCTGCAGATGTTGTAGAAGAATTAAATATAAAGTTAACAATCAGAACCCCTAAAAAGCAGACTGTGTGGGCAGCAACCACTTTCCCAGGACTCTCCTCAAGGCCCCAGTGACCTCCTTATTTCTCAGGCTGTAGATTAGGGGGTTCAGAGTTGGGGTGACAACAGTGTAGAAAACAGAGAGGATGTTTTCTTGTTTGGGACTTACATAGGAACTTGGTAGGATATACATTACTGTGAGAGCCCCATAGTACAGCCCCACCACAGTCATGTGGGAAGAGCAGGTGACAAGGGCTTTCTTCCTTCCTTCATTTGAGAGCTTGTTGAGCACAGTGAAAAGAATTAATGTGTATGAAGCCAGGATGGCAGCAAGAGGGGGTATTAGGAAGGCCACACCCATCACATAAACCATAAGCTCATACATGGAGGTGTCTGCACAGGCCAGCTTCAGCAGTGGAGGGATCTCACAGAACAGGTGTCTGATCTTCCGGGATTTGCAGAAGGGGTACTGCATGGTGTGGATAGTATATCCTAGAGCACTCAGGAATCCCAGGATCCATGATGTGGCTACTCCAAGCCAGCAGATGCTTGGCTTCATGAAGATCATGTAGTTCAGAGGATGACAAATGGCGACATACCTGTCATAGGCCATGAATGCTAGAAGGAGGTCTTCTGCACCACCCAGGGTCAGTGCCAGGAACATCTGAAGGGCACAACCCCCTAAAGAGATAGTGTTGTCTTTGAGCATAAAATCCATGACAGCCTTGGGAATGATAATTGATGTGAGAAAGAAGTCTATGAGAGAGAGCTGCCCAAGCAAAATGTACATGGGCACATGGAGTTGTGCATCCATGGTGATGACCAGGAGCAGCAGTCCATTGCTGGTCAGAGCCAATGTGTACAGGACTGTGATCATTGCGCAGAACAGTTCAGGATAGCCACTGTCATCCAGAATCCCCACCAAGATGAAGGCACCTCCCAGGGTGGAGTTCCAGGGCTCCATTTTGTGGCATTTCTTTAACTGCCAAAATAAGATGGTTCAATTCAGTTTTGCTAATATGGACTTTGATTTTGTAACATCAGAGTTCACTCACGATGCTCAACATGACTCCAGTAAGATGACATTTTCCCTACTAGTAAATACCTTTGCTTCTCGGTTTCCAAATTTATTTATTTATTTATTTATTTATTTATCTATCTATCTATTTTACATATTGATCCCAGTTCTCTCTTCCTCCTTCCATCTCTCCCTCCCATGCCACCTGACCACCCTCCCATCCCACCCCCCTTACTCAACAGGGAGGGTAGTGCCTTCCAGGAGGGGTCAACAAAATCTGTCAGGTCATTTGGAGTGGGCCCTGCCTCTAGGTTAAGGGAGTATCCCTCCATGGGGAATGTGCTCCCAAAGTCCTTTTGTGCACCAGGGATATATCCTGGTTCCACTGTCAGAGGTTTCCAAATTTCTAATCAGTAATTGTATCTTGAAGAAAGATTCACCTAATTGGGAATCACATACCACATCAATAATTTAAAAATATGTTGTAATCTGATGAAAATGTTATTCAGGATAGTAAACCTGAAGAAGTATCTTTCTAAGAGATTAATAAAATATCCCAGCATTCCTTTAGTGTAAATTTGATTAGTGCTTTATTATTCCCTTTTGCTTTCTGCATAGACATATGAATTCAAATTGATTTAAATATGAAATTCACAGATGATACAGAGATGTGACTTTAATAAATTATTTCCATTGCTTGTTCTCATTTCTGGTTTGGTTTTCCAAGATAGGGTTCTCTGTGTAGTACTGGCTATCCTGGAACTCACTCTGTAGACCAAGTTGGCCTCTAACTCACAGAGATCCACCTGCCTCTATCTCCTGAGTGCTGGGATTAAATGCATGAGCCACAAACACACAGCTTGTATGTTCTTAAGTAAGATCTTTCTATGTAGTCCAACAAGAACCTTTTGCCTCAACCTTTGGTATTGTTTATGATTTAATAAAGCTTGTCTGAAGGATCAGAATGCAAAGCTAGCCATGGTCACAGAAGCTGGGCAGTGGTGGCACACACCTTTAATCCCAGGATTCAGGAGACAGATGCAGACAGATCTCTGTGATTGGAGGGCCACCCTGGGCTACATGAGAGTGAATCAGTCTAAAAGGGTAACAAAGATCATGCCTTTAATCCTGGCAATAGGAAGAGGTATATAAGGAAGAAACAAAGGATCTCATGTGAGATTTAGTTTTCAGTCACAGGGAAGACAAGATTTTCATTTCAGCCTTGGTAGAGGTAAGAGCTACTGGCTTGTTGCTTTACTTCTGTTATCTTTAGCGTGAACCCTGATATCTACCTCTGTTTTTTTTTTCATTATTCATATTACACTTTGCAGTTTTGGCATTTTAAGTATGCATCAAAATGTCCAGCTCATTTCCTACATTTTGTAAGTCCATATTTGTTTGTAAGAAATCTCACTTCAATACAAGGTTGTCCATATTAATTACCTGTTACAGATCTCCACATTTTCCATGAACCTGAAAGATTACTGTATAACACCAGGGGAAACTAAGTTTGAGAAAGTGTTGGGGGTTTATAGTTAAAACTTTAGAATCAATATCAACTTTTTTTTTTTAATTTTAACATTACAATGTGTGCCTGCAAAAACACAGAAAGTTCTGTTTATGCTTAGGAGATATGACAAAATTCCACAAAGGAACAGGTATTCTGATATAATCTGCCCAAATAATTCTATTTTAATATAGCCATTGATCCCAATGCCCATGCTCTCTCCTATAAGTACACATCATTTTCACTAGATAGAAGAGGAACAGGGATGGGGGCCCTTCCTTTCTGGGAAGCTGCTATTGGAGCTTGGTGAAGAAGCCCAGGAGGAGGGATCTAAGATTGAAAAGAACTTTGCTGTACATCGCAGAACTGGGCAGATGAAGCCATCTCAGAGCATGAAGTTAAAAGGAATGTGAAAGTGAATCATTTTTTTGTAATTCGTGGTAGCCACATCTTGATATATTTACATTAACATTTCATTAGTCTATATTGGATTCTCTGGCGGTCAATACTACTTTGAGAATTAGAAGATACGGGAATGTGGAACAAGTATCTCATTAGTTCAAGTAGTCCTTTGAAGGCATTCATCTATCTGCTACATATTATCAGAAGCCAGGAACATCTATGTGGACTGAAGGCTTGTACTGAGATTCATACCAGGAAGGAGTTACTTGGGTCTGAAAAATTACATGGAGTATATTCAAATGATGCCCTTTTCATATTCAAAAAAATCAAGCATAGACCAAAAGTCCATGTATTCAATGCACTAGAAATCTTAACAGATGTCAGTTTATGTTTTTAGGTTTTCTCTAGACTCTAATTCTTGACTCAAAATGCACAAAAGCTATACATTACTAAGAGATAAAAATTCCTTACCTTAGGTGGTGAGAATCCTAGCTGCCTTCTCTTGGCTTCACATTGGACTCTTTGGCAATTGAGTGTTTCATTACAAACAGGAAAGTCAGGTGTGATTTCCCTCAGCAGTTTTTGATTTGTTTAAAATTTGCTAAGTTGCCGCTGTAAATTAGGAATCAAACTAATTTCAGGTGTCAGAGATGTGCTATTAGTTTCTTTCATCTGCAGACATCACTGGAAATGGCCATAGGGACAACCAAGTGACTAACAGTTTTTGGCCAGTGTACCATGCAGCGACAAAGTTTACCTAAGCAGAATTACTAGAAACTGGAAACTCATCAGCTTGCATGGAGGAAACTCTAGCCTTGGGTGCCATGTTAAGGTTACCATGTTTCTGCTGCTATCAAGAGCCAATCTCGAAGTTGTAGGAAGAAAATAGAAAACTTGATATGATACTCAGAGGGCACTCTTGTGCCATTAAACACCCCTGAGGCTAAGAGTACATCAGAACTTTGTCTTCTATTTCCAAGACCTCCTCTCTTCATTTTCCTATGTATATCTTTAGATGGACTTATATATTATCATAAATGACCTCCTTGAAAATGTTTATCTTGGAAACAAGGAAGTTAATGAGTCCTCTCGGGAGTGATTTCTGGCTTGCCTTTTCTGAAGACTTTTGTTACTAAATGAGCTCTGAGGCTCTAGGTTTCTCTTCTCATTGAGTGTAGGATCCAATTTCCTTAGCCTCCCACCTGCTGGTGGGAGCTTAAGGACCTAACCAGACTTTCCCAATTCTCTATGTAATTCTTTTTTAACCTTTTAAAATAACAGTTCTTCATTTATTTTGCTTACTAACCAGTTTCTCCTTCCTCTCCCCTTGCCCCACCTACCCCCATTTTCCATTCACTCCTTTACTCCTCCGTCTCCATTCAAAAGGGTGCAGGCCTCCCATGGACTTGCATAAAACATGACATGTCCCCTCACATAGAGGTGGAGCAAGATAATCCAGCATGGGGAACAGGTTACTACAAGCCAGCTAAGTGCCAAGGAGAGATCCTGCTCTCTTAGAAGCCATATTAAGAGACCAAGCTACAAGACTGTCACACACATGCAGAGGACCTGCATTGAACTCGTGCAGGTTCCCTAACTGTTGTTCCAGCATCTATGAACTTCCAAAAGCTCAGGTCAGCTGTCTCTGTGGGCTCCCCCACCATGATGCCCCTGGTTAGTACACAATCCCTCCTTTCTTAGACAAGACTCTCTGAGCTCTCCGACTCTGTACTTATCTGTGGATCTTTGCATCTGCTTCCATCAGTTACTGGCTAGAGTGTCTCTGATGGCAATTAGGATAATTTCTATGAAATTCTAAATGAAAAGTAAAATGTAATGGAATAGAACTTCAAAGATCCCTTATGGTCATTACTTTTCTGGTGTAGAGCACAATGTCCTCTTCTAAGAATTTGTGGGATGCACTTTTCCTTTCTCCCCTCCCCCACCCTCTTAGACTATTGCAATCCAATGTGGCTTCTCTGGGTAATTTTAGAGGTAAATTTTTTGGGGGTTGTGTTTTGTTTTTAATTATTTCTAAGAATTCAGCACAGCTTCTGTGTGTGCTCATGTCTTGGTTCTATGAGTGATGGTTGAATAATTTTCCTTTTATTAATCAAGAAAGTAGAAGGAAATCCATCCACTAATGGAGTTATAGAGAGTTAATATTAGTTAAAAATCATTTGAATGTTTTCAGAAATAAAATACCCACTATATAGAAACGCTAAGATAACAATGACCTACCAGTGGCAGTAATACGACAGTGGAGATATGTCTTCAAAACTGCTTAGAGACAGTCCAGGGTAGCTAAAGGCATCCACAATCCCTTCTGGTGTCATTGGGCTCAGGTGTCTAAAAGACACTCACTGGGCAAGCCTGGGGTCCCCACATTCCTGTCAGGCTGAAAGCATCCACAGAACCCACCAATGCTGGTAGGTCCTATAATGTATATGGTGGAGAAAGGCAAGAGAAAGTGGCAAAACAGTTCCTGTGCTGTGGATTGGGGAAGAACTGAAGTGATGAAGACAGTGAGAAATGAAATGATGTAACTTGTCTGCTTGCCACCCAAAGCCAAGATGACATCTTGGCCTGAGCTGCTACCAAGTTCCATATCTCAGTCTGTGGTCCTACTGCAGCCAGAGTGTTGACTTCTATGGCCCATGTTGCTACCCAAGCTATTAGGATGCCTGGGCTCTGGGCCACAACCTGTGGCTATGCTAGTGTCCGAACACCCTGCCACCACTGGGGCCATGAAAATCTGAGTGGCCTGCACTACCACCTGGGTCCATGGTGTCATCCACACCCAAGCTGCTGTTGAGGCCTATGTCTGGGTCCATGGCTCTAAAGCAGCCAGGCTCTGAGTTGATGTTCATGCTTTATGGTATCACTGAGGGTTGTGCATATGTCCAGGGTCTCGTCGGTCACCTGAGACCATGTTGGTGTCTAGGGCCATGCTGTCACTAGGACCATACTGGGTGGCTTGTACTGCCACAGGGACCATGGTAATATCTGGGCCCGAGCTGCTACTGAGAGCCATGTC